CATAGAATCTTTTAGGTTGGAAAAGACCTTTAAGATCGAGTCCAACCATCAACCATGCCCACTAAAACATGTCCTGAAGAGCCTTGTCTATGTGCTTTTTGAATTCCTCCAGGGATGGTGACTCAACCACTTCCCTGGGCAGCCTGTTCCAATGCCTGACAACCCGCTCAGTGAAGAAATTTTTCCTAATATCCAACCTAATCCTGTCCTGCCACAACTTGAGGCCATTTCCTCTCATCCTATCTCCAGCCACCTGACAGAAGAGACCAGCACCCACCTCACTACAACCCCCCTTCAGGCAGTTACAGAGAGCGGTAAGGTCTCCCCTCAGCCTCCTCTTCTCCAGACTAAACAACCCCAGTTCCCTCAGCCGCTCCTCATAAGACTTGTGCTCCAGGCCCCTCACCAACTTGGTTGCCCTTCTCTGGACACGCTCCAGCACCTCCATGTCTTTCCTGTAGTGAGGGGCCCAAAACTGAACACAGTACTCGAGGTGCGGCCTCACCAGTGCCCAGTACAGGGGGACAATCACCTCCCTGCTGCTGGCCACACTATTTCTGATGCAAGCCAGGATGCCGTTGGCCTTCTTGGCCACCTGGGCACACCGCTGGCTCATATTCAACTGGCTGTCAACCAGCACCCCCAGGACTTTTTCTGCCAGGCAGCTTTCCAGCCACTCTTCCCCAAGCCTGTAGCTCTGCATGGGGTTGCTGTGACCCAAGTGCAGGACCCGGCACTTGGCCTTGTTGAACTTCATACAATTGGCCTTGGCCCATTGATCCAGCCTGTCCAGATCCCTCTGTAAACCCTTCCTACCCTTGAGCAGATCAACCCTCCCTCCTAACTTGGTGTCATCTGCGAACTTGCTGAGGGTGCACTCGATCCCCTCATCCAGATCATTGATAAAGATATTAAGCAGAATGAGGCCCAACACCGAGCCCTGGGGAACACCACTTGTGACCTGTCGCCCACTGGATTTAACTCCATTCACCACAACCCTCTGGGCTCATCCAGCCAGCCAGTTTTTTACCCAGCAAAGAGTACACTTGTCTAAGTCATGAGCTGCCAACTTCTCAAGAAGTATGCCATGAGAGACAGTGTCAAAGGCCTTGCTGAAGTCCAGGTAGACAACATCCACAGCCTTTCCCTCATCCACCAGGCAGGTCACCTGGTCGTAGAAGGAGATGAGGTTGGTCAAGCAGGATCTGCCTTTCGTGAACCCATGCTGGCTGCGCCTGATCGCCTGGTTGTCCTGCACATGCCATATGAGCGCACTCAAGATGAACCGTTCCATAATCTTCCCCAGTACCGAGGTCAAGCCAACAGGCCTGTATAGTTCCCTGGATCCTTCCTCCAACCCTTCTTGTAAATGGGCGTCACACTGGCAAGCCTCCAGTCGTCTGGGACCTCTCCTGTTGTCCAGGATTGCTGATAAACAATGGAGAGTGTCCTCGGCAAAGCCCTCTGCCAGTTCCCTCAGTACTCTTGGATGGATCCCATCTGGTCCCATAGATTTGTGAGTGTCCAGACAGCATAGCAGGTCATTAACTATTTCCTCCTGGA